ATGTATGTATGTATGTATGTATGTATGTATGTATGTATGTATGTATGTATTTCTCTGCATGAGTACTGATCCTCTAGATTTATGCCTGCACGCCAGCAGAGGGCATCAGGTCTCAGTATGCATGGCTGTGTGGCTGCTGGGAACTGAACGCAGGACCTCTGATCGAGCAGACAGTGCTCCTAGCCACCGAGCCATCTCTCCAGCCCAAGTTTTAAATTTTGATGACGTCAAATTTATTCATTTTTTTATTTTATTCATGTTTTTTTTCCTTTGGTTGTATTTCTGCAACAATACCCCCAAATCCTTTATCAATGCATTGCTTTTTAAGATTTATTATTATTATTATTTACTGAGCTCCCATGACTATGGAGGGATACAAAAGGAGGAGGAGGAGGAGGAGGGGGAGGAGGAGGCATTAGAAACTGGTCTGAACCTGCTAGGTGTGCTATGCGCAGTTGGCATCCAAGTGAAAATGCCACATAGCCAGCCGGATAAAGAGCATTTGGGAGTTAGTATACGCAGTGGTTAAATTCTTTCCTGCGCATTGGGACGGGCGCGACCGAGGACACCTCCATAAACACTGCGGAGAGCGCGAGGCACAGGCTTCAGCCGGGCACAGAAGGAGCCGCTCCTCTGGTGAGGACGCTGGCGCGCGGGTGGCCCAGTTGCGTTTGCTGCGGGGGCTCAGAGGACAGGCTGGCGGCCGTGGGAGCCGAAATGCGCTCCGGGGGAGTCTTCCAGATGCCGAGAACGGGGTGACACGTCTTCCCACCTTTTCCCCGGCAAGCCAGCCCTGCGGCCATCACGCATGACGCCCGACGTCGACGGCCACCACAGGACTTTATTCCTCATTGCTTCCTCGGGATCCGTGAGGCTCCGGACGCGAGCATCTCCCAAGGACTCTCCGCCCTGCTGGGGGCGGGGCCGTGGCTGCGTGACGTCACGGAGAGCCGCTCCCCGGAGCGCGCAGAGCGCGGCCGCGCCCCCCGCTGTGTCTCCGGCCGCCGGGCCCTTCAGGCCAGCTGGAGCAGGTCGTGGCCGGCCAGCAAGCCCTGGGTGCGGTTGTAGACGTGCTCCAGGACGCGGGCGGCCCGGGCCAGGGCAGCCCGCGCGTCCGCCTCGCCGGTCCCGGGGCACGCCAGCTGCAGCAGGCGGCCGCGGCTCGGGAGGGCGAGCATGGCCAGGCGCGCGGCCTGGCGGACCAGCCAGGGGTGGTGCGCGGCCAGGGCGCTGCTGTAGGCGTCCTGGCACTGCGCGCCGGCGTCCGGGCCCCCGAGCGCCCCCGTCGCCACCCTCTGGAGGCAGAGCTGGGACCAGCGCAGCGCGCGGTGCAGCAGAAGCAGCGTCCGGGAGCCCGAGGGCCGGCCTGCGTCTCGGGGGGCGGCCCCGGGCGGCTCCAGCAGCCCTGCCCGCCGCTCCCACGTCGCCATAGTCGCCAGCGACGTGTAGTGCGCAGCGTCGGGGCCGTGCACGCGAGCCTCCAGGGCGGTCACCTTGTTGGAGGCCTCGCTGGTGGCAAAGGCGAAGGCGGGGCCGAGGGGGCTTAGGAACCTGTTCGGTGGTGGGAGCGAGGGGGGATGACTTGAGAAGGAGGAGCACGGGATCTCGGGGAGGAAGGGCTCTGGGGAGGGAGAGCGCTCACCTGAGTAGCTCCTTCCACCCCGCCGTGTACTGAGACAGCTCCACGTCCCCTTCGGGGCTCATACAGGCCAGGAAGGGGCTCACCACGCGACCCAGCACGCCCCAAGGCCGCAGGCAGGGAGGCTCTTCCTCCTCAGGGGCCGCCAGGGGTCTCAGTTCTGGGCCAACCTGGGAGAGAGACACAGGGGATACAGGGAAAGGGCCTAGCCTGCCAGGCCTGCTCAGAGCCTGGGCTCTGCAGACACTACCCCCAGACTTAGCCCCTCCTGGTGGTTCTCGGCATCTGAAGCGAGACAAGATCAGAGAGGGAGGAGCCGCCTCTCCTCAGGTTCTCAGACTGGCTGCCGCACACTCTGGCCTTGACTCAAACATACCTGGGAAGGTAGGGGTGCCTCTGGGTTGCAGGGCTGCGCCCCGGGCCTGCAGCCTGGTAGGACCCCTGAGGTGATGCGAAACGGGGTGGTGAGGACTGGAGGAGGAGGCGGCTCCAGCCCCGACAGGCCGGACGGCTGGGGTCTCTGAGCCAGTAATGCCAGGGGCCTCTCACGGTACAGCCGCAGAGTGATGTAAAGACATAGCAGCGTGAAGACAGAGAAAGGAATTGCATGGCGGGACCAGCGCCCCAGGGCTGGGGGCGTCAGTGAGACCCCCATGGCCCTCGCTGACACCTCACCTAGCTGGTGGTGGCCTTTCCCTTCCGGTGGTGACCAGAGGTGCAGGGGTTAATAATTAACCCATTGAGGCCCCCTCCCCGGCGTCCTTTGCTCCAGAGGTCGGATCCTGGGGTGAGGGGCCTATGGCAGCAGCCTCTTGTGGGTCCTCCTAAACTCTGGACACGAGTTCACTGTAAATGGAGGATCATGGGTCTCTGGGAACCTCACATCAGGGTCGAGTGCAAGTGGAAGAGCTGCCCACAGCTGCCTAGTAGATCTTCCTTGTTGGGCTGGGGAGACGGCTCAGTGATTAAAAGCACCGGCTGCTCTTCCAGAGGACGCGGGTTCAGTCCCCATGTCCCCACCCACATGACAGGGGATCCGACACCTCCACAGCAAAACACATGAAATAAAATTAAGTGAGTTATTTAAGAAAATATTACTCGTTAAGGTGAGATGGTGGGGCTTCAGGCCTCTCTCCTTTTACATTTATGATTATATTTTAAGCTTTATATGCCCTATACTAGACCTCCGACCTCCAGAATACAGAAGTGTGTTCATAGCTGGGCATGGTAGCCCAGGTCTTCCTGTAACCACAGGTATTCTGGAAGCTGAAGTAGGGTCAAACGTCCGAACCAGCCTGGGTAACCTATATTTAACCAAATGCACTGTAACTAGATACAAGTTAAGGAGGCAGAGGAAGTGTGTGAAGACCGCAGGTCAGGGGTGGACGATCTAGCCAGGTTGTTTTGTCTTCTTGTGGCTTAGGGGTCCCTCTGCTGGTCATAGAGGAGAAGGCATGCTGGGAAAGGACGGGAATGCAATCTCGGAACTCAGAAGGCCAAGGTAGAAGCTCAAGAGTTCCAGGCCAGCCTGGAGTATGCAGCAAGCTCTAGGCAAGTCTAGGCCACAGAGTGAAACCCTGTCCTAAAGAATACAGGGAGCACCAGGTGGTTCTGGCACACACCTTTGATCCCAACACTTGGGAGGCAGAGCAAGGATCTCTGTGAGTTGGAGGCCAGCCTGGTCTAGAGTTCCAGAACAGCCAGGACTACACAGAGAAACCCTGTCTCAAAAACAACAAAACTTTCCATGAAAATGCCCCCACCTAAAAAAAATAATAATAAATAAATAAACAAACACAACAAGACGAAACCAAAGAGTAACGCAAGAGGCCGAGGAAGAACAACCTGGTTTGTTCTCAGTTACCTCAGACTCTGCCAATACAACCCTAGACTCAGCCCTGTCTTACTGGATGCCTCATGCTGGTAGTCCTAGCACCTGGAGGCTGAGGCAGGATGGTTGAGTTCAAGGTCAGCCTGGGCCACTGTGCTGGATAGTTTCATGTCAACTAGACACAAGTTAGAGTCATCTGAAAGGAGGGAACCTCAATTAAGACAATGTCCCAGGCTAGAGGGATGGCTCGGTGGTTAAGAGAACCCAGGTTCAATTCCCAGCACCCACATGGCAGCTCACAATTGTCTGTAACTCCAGTTCAGGGGATCTGACACCGTCACACCAATTAATGTGAAATAAAATAAGTTAAAAGAAAAGAGAAACTGTCTCTGACATGAACTCAGTGGCTGGCTCTTTAACCCCACCCCCACCCCTGAGGGAGGAGCAGCCTTGCCAGGCCACAGAGGAGGACATTGCAGCCAGTCCTGAGGAGACCTGATAAACTAGGGTCAGATGAAAGGGGAGGAGGACCTCCCCTATCAGTGGACTTAGAGAGGGGCAGGAAGGAGATGAGGGAGGGAGGGTGGGATTGGGAGGGACTGAGGGAAGGGGCTACAGCTGGGATACAAAGTAAATAAGCTGTAATTAATATAGAAAATAAAAAACATAGAAAAGAAGTAAGAAAATAAAAGAGAAAATGTTTCTGTAAACTATGTAAATTAGTGATTGGTGGGGGAGGGCCCGGCCATTGAGGGCGTTGCCATCCCTGGGCTGGTGGCCCTGGGGGCTGTGAGAAAATAGCTGAGGGAGCCTGGAAGCGAGCCAGTGAGCAGCACCCTCGTGGCCTCTGTCAGCGGCCTCCAGGTTCGCACCCTGTGTGCCGTCCTCCAGTGGAAGTGTAAGCCAAATAAACCCTTTTCTCCCCAGCGTGCTTTTTGTTCATGGTGTTTCATCAGAGCTATAGAACCCTGACTAAAAGCGATACATGCTGTATTTCAGGACAACCTGTGAGATCCCGTCTCTCTGGGTTGTACCTGGTGTCCAAGATTCTCAAAGGATCAGGCCCATGGCCTTAACAAGGCCTTTTCCAGACCCCACACTTCGCAGACTCCATCTGTGGTAACTCTGCTCTCTCTTGCATCCTGAGGCTGCACCTCATCCTGGCCCTGCCCCTGCCTAGCCCTGTCCCCGGCAGACTTCCATGGGGTCATTAGAGTCACCAGCCTTGGCTGCCATCTCCAGGGCTGGGACGTTTCTCAGCGTTCTGGGGCAAGTGACCTGTTGTTCCTGAGGCTCAGCTCTCGAACTTACAAACTGGGACATCTGACTTCTGTCTTCTTCAACCATTGTGAGGATTACAGGAAACGTGGCTGCAAAGTGCCAATCACAGCCAGTGGTCCAGAGTGTTTGGTGGGTGCTAGTTTACCCTCAATGGTTTTCACTGCCCCTCCTTCCCTAGCTCCGGGTGCGGGGGTGGGGCGGTTCGCCTCCAAAGCTGGGAACCAAATCTTCAGGGTTCCTGGATCGAATGTCGCTTAATCCTGCTCACTCTTCCGCAATCTGAGCCGTGAAAGGGGAGTGCTCGCGTCGACCTGAAACTTGAGTCTTGCCAGGGACAGGGCTGTTATAAATCCGTGAAGTGACCACTCAGGAAATGCAGGATGGGGCGGCGGGCCGGAGCCGGGCTGCTGCTGCTGCTGCTGTGGGCCGCGCGCGGTGGGCATGTGCTGACGTCTTATGGGCAGCAAAGATACACATCGATTGTCGACGTGGCCAACGGTGGTACCTGGGGTGACTGGGCCTGGCCGGAGATGTGTCCTACCGGGTACTTTGCCAGCGGATTCTCCATCAAGGTGAGGGGGCTCAGGCCTGGCTTTGGGGAGGGCGGGCTGGGAGCGTCACCCCCTCGCGGGACCCTCCTCTCTCCTCCCAGGTGGAGCCCCCTCAAGGCTTCCCCGGAGACGACACGGCTCTGAACGGGATCCGGCTGCACTGCACGCGAGGGAACCCGCAGCAGAACACTCACGTCGTGGAGTCCCAGTCTGGAAGGTGGGACTTAGCCCCCCCAAAGGCGGGATAGCGCATTTGCGG